TTCGGTGTGATATCGAATTCAGTTAGTATATGAAGTACGAAGGATGCAGGCGGAATTGGTATACAAAGCAACTGACGGCTTAGTATAACAGAGCCTTGAAAAAGTCCGCTTCTATAAGGTGATCCAGATAACCTATAACAATTCGAGTTTCAGCTGTAAACTCAGTCTTGCCATAACAGCCTTCTGCAAATATCTACAGAATGAAAGCTCAATATCCGGCAACTCTCAAAATTCCATAGAAGTTTGAAATTGCCAATCAGCACAACAAGGGTGTTGAAGAAAAACTGATAAAAACATACATCTCTTTCTTTCCGAGCGCTGTCATCTCACAATCATTTATGTGGTGATTATGTACATGAACTAATTTACGGGGAGCACAACGCCAACTTTTGCCTGTTTATAGAAACTGTAAGCAAACAATCAGTATATCAGGCGCTTTTAAACTTATGGATGATTGAAAATTAGCATCTTCGAAAAATCAAGACGAAAGCTCTTTAAAGCTGGCATGTATTGACATATTTTCCTCGGCTGCTATCGAATCTACATTAAGCTGCCTTAAAACTTCGCAAAACCAGCAAGCTGCCGAAAATCCAAATAGTAGACCATCTGCGGTGTAACTGGTAAAAACAGTGTTTGCACAAAGAGTTTGTACTTGAGCCGTATTATAGCGTCTTGAAGAAAAGACCCTTGTCGGAATCTTAGCAATGAAAACACTTATGTATAACGCACAAGTGACTTAAAGGTACTGTTGTACGGGACTTCTGCGAGCACCTTATAGCATCAGAAAACTTAAACTCTTTTGAATCGAACATTGTCAGTCGCATTTCTGCAAATTCTCCGGACTTCAGTTTAAACCTGACACGAAGGTGAATCTTATATCCCTTATCAAACTGGACAGTGCAGCGGAATAACTACGATGATTACGTGTATCAGCTCATCAATTATTAATGGCTGTACACCGACGAAATTTCTAAGAAGTGGCAACTCTTTTTTTGTCAATGTCCCTTAAAAGGAAGTGGCAGACATTGAGACTTTGAGAAATTTGGCAAGCTTTTTTATGAGAAAGAGGTTTGTAGCCAGGCTAATTCAGTTTCGCATCATTGTTTACGCGCCTGTGCACAACTACAGGTA